CGGGAAAAGGGCAAGAAATACAGACCCCCAGACGCCCTCGTTGTCTTCGTCGTCTTCCCTCCCCGCGGGTCGGGTCGAGGCGCCCGAGCCGAGGCCCGAGGCACGCGAAGGCCGTGAAAGTGGCGCGGGTCTTAGTGGACGTCGTGGACGTCGTGGACGAGGCACTCCGCGACGACGGCCGGGCGGCGCGTCCAAAGCCTGTCCGTTGTCCCCAGCAATGCGGCATGCGGCAGGCAGCGCGATGCGACGCGACGTGCAGGAGCAACAGATTGCGTAACTCGAGCCGCCCGCGCCATGAGGCCAAGCCCGGCCAGCCACCATGGGGCCACATGTTGGGGGTCAGCCAGTCAGCCATCGCGACGCGCGGGCAGGTCGCGGCCCGGGCCGGCACACACACAAACACGGACACACGGACACGCCGCCGCTGATCAAACAGACAGACACATACACACCACGTCCACGTCGTCCGCGTCCCCGGGATAGGAGAGGGACACACACGCGGACGCGCGCTTCATCCTTGACGCTGCGGAGCTCTTTGACGTGTTTTTGTCGCCCTGAGCCGCTGTGTGAGTGTGTGGCGACGGCGGTAGGTGCACCGCGCTCGCTCCGCTCCTAGGGATGCGAAGGCGGTAAATTACCCGGTAAACTTACGGTAAATTACGGTAAATAACCGTAATTTACCGAAGAGCCGAAAAATCGGTAATTAACGGTAAAATTCGAATTTTATCGGTATTTTGCAAAATACACTTTCAATTCCCCATATTAATGATAAAACGCTTATTTAGAAACGCTCAAGTACATTTTCTGAAAAGGGTGACGCACTTAGGTGACGCATTTAGGTAAGCAAACCTGCTACACACCTATTAAAGGTATCTTGCAAACGTCTGTAGATACGTAGTGTCGGCGACACTACCATTTGATCAGCGTCAAAAGTTCACTCAACAAAGCGTTTCTTATATTGTACATTGATCTTCAAGAGGTAAATGTTTTGAACACTTGAACACTCCGCGGCATGTCCCTTACTCGAAGGGATATTTCGCGGCCCTTTGACAAGGGAACTGTCCCTATCCATAGGGACTGGCCATTTCATGAGGACCGTCCCTATACCAAGGGGCCGCGAAATATCCCTTTAGTTAGGGACGTTGGTGATTTCTTAGGCACGAAGTAGCCTTATAGTATACCCAGGATTCAGCCGGCCCGAGATTCAATTTGTGTGGCCCTTTATGCATTTCGGAAATTTTCTATACGATTTTAATGAGAGTTTGCAGACTTGTAGAACTTTGAACGCTGATTCTGATGCCGAAATCTGGTTAAAAAGTTGGTGGCCAATTTTGAGAAATTTGCTGTCAAAATCGCCGTTTCCATGGCAAATAAACTCGACTCGTCAAAGGAAAAAAAAAGGGAGTGGGGGGAGCCGAGCCGGGGCGGACCAATAGCCGAGCTTCTTTTTGGGTCTGTACAGCTTACTCCAAAAGCTGAAATCAGCACGTTCGAAATGAAAAATTTCTTTGACTGCAGGTAGACAAGATGCAACAATAGAATTGGTGTCGGTTCGAACGCAGTTTTTCGGGTAGAACTATCCAATAATACTTCTTGATTGGAGTGTTTTTGGACATGCGCAGTAGGTTTGCAACCTGTTAACAGTTTAACCAACTGTAGCATTTGAAACCTGTATTAATTATGCTCTCTTTCTTGTTTTTTCTATGTTTCCTGCTTATGAAAATTCATATAAAACAAATTTTCAATTTTTGTGTGATGACTTTCTAAAAAAATATTCACAGAAAATTAGCAAAACAAAAGTTCTTTTTTTCTGGCATATAGTTTCTCAAATATTCCTTTTTTTTCTGTCAATAAAACAATTTTGTTGTTGTTGTGATTCAGTTAGCACTAGGACCACTTCGCTCCACCTCGCGACTTGCAGTGCTCATGTTCCTCGAACAAGACTCACCCGCGTTTCGAAACCATCCCTCCCGAGTTTATGAAGTTTGTCAAACCAATCGTCGTGGTGTTGATACGTTGTAAGGGAGAACTATTACACAGAATTGAAGAAAACATGACTAGAGAACCATAGCCTTTTGAAACAAGCCAAACAATTCAACGTCAGCAACAATGGATGGGCAGTTTTAATGCGCGACTGCTGGTGCTTTCAGCTTCGCGATTTTCGCAAGGGCGCAGACGCCGAGAAACTAGTTGCCAACCCGTGAAAATTAATTCACTGCCTTCTTTCTGCGAAGAACATTTTAATAATGATGGACTTTAAAGATGTTCCATTGTCAGAACACTGTGGAATACATTAGCATTGGAATTTTTTGAATTTACCAGCGTTTTGATTTCTATTTTGTCAAGTTTAAATTTCGACGGGTGGCACATCGACCACATTGGTACCACTGCCATTGGTAGTCCCCTGAGCCGCAACTTCATAACACCACTTCTTTTCTGTCTCCACACTCTTACACAATAATCAAATTGACTTCGTGACTCCTAGGATTTCTTGAAATCGTATTTTTTCCCTTGGAAGTGTTTCTTTTGAACTTCTCAATAGATTTAATCATTTCTGACCCAAAAAAAACCATGCTTACTACTTAGTTTCAACAAAATCATTAAAATATAGCACACCATTTAAATGAAACGAATTTTACCGTTTTTTACCAAAATTACCGGTAATTTACGGTAATTTACCGTTTTTTACGTAATTTTGAAAATTACCGGTAATTTTGCATCCCTATCGCTCCTCGGTGATACAACGCGACGAAAGCTCAACCGCGGGAACGCCGCGCCGCGCCGCGACGCCTTCCGGCCCCACAAGAAAAACGGCGAAAGTGCGGAGTGCAGGGCGGGGGACTCATTTAGAACGCGGCCGCCTGTTTGGTCTACGGCGTGTCGCTCTCCGAGATGATGCACCTCACGCACACAGTCACACGCAGTCACACACGTCACACACCTACGCAACCGAAACCCAAGTCGACGTATGCGCGGCTCAGCTCATCCCGCGCCGCCACGCCCTGCCACGCCACACCCCGCCTGCCGCAGCTACCACTGTCATCGTAAAGGCAACCAACGTACTGTACTACGTGCGGTGGAGGGGGAGGGGCCCAGAAGACGGTGGCGGGAAAAAAAAGAAAACGAAAAAAGGGAAAATGAGATAAAAACGGGTAAAGTACACGTCGAGGTGCACGAGAAAGGAAGCAGGAAAGCCCCCATCCCGGGCCGACGCGCCCGAAGCCCAAGCCGGGCCCAAGCCAGGCCCGCACGAACGTTCTCACACATGGGGGTGCGGTCAGGGGCGTCGACACCAGGGGGGGCACGGGGGCAATGCACCCCCCAAGTTTTGGCCAGGGGGGGGCAAGGGGGGGCAACATTTCGGGCAAAAGAATGTAAAGTAACTCGTTTTCAACTACCGCCCAGTCCTCTTAATATTGACACAAACAAACACAAACTCTTTTGTGGGACATATTGACCCTTTTCCCCCATATCAGATCGTGCCTAGGGTGGACAACTTTTGACAATGTTGGATCATGCCCGAAGAGAGTTCTCGTCACACCTCATACTTCCTCCCCCAAAAAGCTTAAAAATTACCATTTTGGTGAGCGTCGCGAGGACTTAGGTCTTTTGAGCCTTCAATGCTTGAAACATTCTTGACTTCAAATAGTTGAAGCCCGTTCTTTAACAACATGTAATCTCTAAAACTCGTTTCCGACTCAAGAAATCTTCTCGGGGGCTGTTAGGTGGAACGCTTTAATTGTCGTCGCTTTTGTTAGGTTTTGGCCGATTCAGACGGTCAGGTTACCAGGTCGGTCTAGGCGGCCGAGAATTTTGAGTGATGCAAGACCTGCGTCTTTGTTGAGATGCATGTTCACGTTGAAAAAATGACACTACATGAAAACGCCTTAAGGTAGGCAACCCTCAATACAGAGCGCCGCTTGCACCCCCCTGGAATTCGAACGCGTCGACGCCCCTGGGTGCGGTCGACCGGGTCGACCGGCAGGCCTCTCCCAGCCTCTTCACGCCCACGCCGAAGAAAGGGGAAAGGTCGGCCGATTTTTATTTTCCATGCCTGGCGCTGGCGCGCTGGCGCAGCGCTCAGCCCGAACCGAGGCACGCGGGGCACGCGCCGATGGGGAGGCGTTGTTTCGTTTCGCCGCGAACGGCGGAGGGACGCCCCACCGGCCTACCGCCCCACTGTGGGGTCATTTCACACGTAGACGCCACGCAGGGGAGGCAGGCGTGGGTATAATTAGACGGCTGGAGGCCGATGGAGCCCTCCGCCCGCCAAAACCAAATCGGACGCACGCCGCACGCACGATCTGTCTTCGGCCAGCTCCACCCAGAGAAGAGATCTTCAGCGCGCGGATTCAAAACCACGACCGGCAAAACGGCATCGGTAGCACTGGCTGCGGCAGAGGGGGCAGGGGGAGGGGGAGAGAGAGGGGACGCTCGGAGTGAGGGGTGTGCACTGAGTTACATAACTCCAATAAGCCGAACCGAACGCCGGACCCAAACCGCAGGGGGCGGACAGGACGGGGAAGGGGGCCCAAGGGGTATGCCACAACCAGACTACAACAACAACAACACAGCGTGAAACGAAAAGGTTTTTCAGAAAAAAGCAGCTGTTTAAAAGGCCCCGGGCGTGTCGGGGGGCGTGGCACGTCACGGGCGTGACGCGCGTGGCACGTGTGTGTAATGGCGGTAATGCGCTGCAACGAGTCCGTGCCGCCGGCCGGCACGGCACACTGTAGGCACAGTGTAGGCACAGTGCCCGGGGCAGCCCGCCATCAGCCCGTCACCACGGCGGCGACGCGGGCGGCGGGGAATCACACGAGAAAGGCCCTTCCATTCCAGCCGCTAGCCGCCAGCCGTCCACGTCCCTCCACGCGATGTGCGCCTTGCCGGCACCGAAGTTGCACTCTCACCGATTGCACTGTACACTTGCACTCGACGACGCACTAGTTTGTGGGCCACCTGTAGGACCGCGGCGGTCGGCAGCAGGTTTCCGTGCTTACCTGGACTGCCTCTTGGTTGCGCCGGTCGAGCAGGAACTCCATGGACTTGGCGCGGCTGTTGTTGTCCTGGCTGCCGGCGCTGAGCATGCCGCCAGGGCTGGCGTCCCGGTGCAGCGAGAGCTGGTGGTGGTGGTGGTGGACGGCGTGCGGCGCGCCGCTCACGTCGAGCAGCGAGCGCGCCTTGGCGCCGGCGCCGTTGCCGACGCCCCGCGCCCCGGGGGGCGGCAGCGGTAGGTCCGCGTCCAGGTCCGTCTCCAGCAAGCCCGCCATGCTACTGGAGCCCCCAGCGCGCCATGCCGTCGCGACGGCGGCCGTCACGGCAGCGGCGGCAGCGGCAGTGGTCACGTCTCTCGGCTCGCGGGGGTGGTGGTGTTGCGCATGCCCGCCGTGGTGGCCGGCGTTGGGGCGAGCCACCCCCCGGGGGACGCGCGGCGGGGCGGAGGGCGGCAGCGGGGGCTTGGTGGCCAGCGCGGCTCGCCGACGTTCCTCCTCGCGGCGCTCCGCCTCCAGCTCCTCTGGTGTCGGGTGCAGCGGGATGATGCGCACGTCCTCGTACGGCGGCGCGCTCTGCGTGTTGGTGCCCTGCTGCTTGGTGGCGCCGGGGGGCGGCGACGTGGGCGCGCTCTTGCTCCTCGTCAGCTTCTTGGCGTGGTCGTGGTGGCGGCCGGACAGGCGGCGCAGGGAGAACCGCTGGAAGAAGTCGCCGAAGCGCGACGTCTTCTTGGGGCTGCTCGTCGGGCTGGTCGCGGGGCTCGACGCGGGGCTGGACGCGGGGGACGTCGTCGCCGAGCCCGCGCCGGGCGGCAGGGCCTGCGGCTTCGGCGCGGCCATGCTGGTGACTGAAGGCTTCGCCTGCGCCCGCTGCGGACCGGTGCGGCTGGCATTGCTGGCGTGGTGAGCATGGTGTGGTGGGGCCGATGATGCCGGCAATGCCGGCTGCGACGCAGCTGTGGGCGAGGCGGGCGCGGCGGGCGGCGGGACGGTCGGGGCGCGCGGCGGGGACCGGGGCGGCACGCGGGGCGGAGAGTGGGGCCCGGCCGGCCCGGCCGCGGCGGGACTGGCACTGTCTGGCTGGGGCGCTGCCGCTGTCGTCTGCTTGGCCTGCCGATGCACGTCCGCGACCACTCCCGCGACTTGCAGCTTGTATGCCACGCCCTGGTGCACTTCCTCCTCGTCTTCATGGTCTTCGTCCTCATCCTCCTCGTCGTCGTCCTCCCGGTCCGACCGCGGTCCGTCCGTCTCGTCTATGTCTTCCTCGTCTTCGTCGTCCACGTCACTGTACGAGTCCCGCCAGGATACCTCGGCGACGACGGGGCAGAAGTGCACGCCCTTGCTGGTGGCGGTGGCGCCCAGCGCCGTCCCCGTGCTCAGGGCCTTGCTGAGGCCCTCGTCGTGGAGCTGCTGCTGCTTGGTGGCACCGAGGCCGGCGAGGTCCGGGGTGCTGGCCATGGTGGGCGGCCCGGCGAGCAGCCCAACGGGGACCACGGGGTGCTTGTCGGGGTGCTCCGAGAGCGGGTGCGCGTCGGCGACTGCGGCCAGCGAGCACACCAGTAGGTCTGGCGCGCTTCGGTGCCAACCCGCGCTAAATTTAGCGTCGCTTGCTCCCCACTCTAAGTTTACCTCGTCCGTCTTCTTCCTGCCGCCTCCACTGCTACTGCTGCATGCCGAGTAGCACGACGAGGAGCACGAGTCGTCGTCCACGACGTCGTCCTCCAGGATGGGGCAGACGGTGAGGCGCTTGCCCGTGGGCAGTGCGGCGTGCTCGCCGAAGCCGCTGTCCTCGCTCAGGTTCTCCGCCGAGCGCTGCGTCCGCCCCGACCCGGGCGTCGACTCCGCCACGTTGGCGACGGGGAGCATGGCGATGACGTCGTCGTTGCCGCTGCTGTCGCTGCTGCTGCTGCTGCTGCTGCTACTGCTGTGGTGCACGGAGCTGGCTTCGTCCGGCCCGTCCAGGAAATCGTCGCGCGTCATCGCTGCGCTGTGGTCCATGTGCTTGTCCATGTCCTCCATGGCGGCGTCCATGGCGTCCATCACGTGCTGGTCCATGTCCTCGTGGTCCTCGTGGTCGCTCAGGGAGTAGGTGGCGTCCAGCAGGCTGCGCAGCGACGGCTTGGGGCTCAGGCTGTGGCTGCGCTCCTGCCGGCCGAGACAGAAGCGCGGCTCGAAGACGTCATCGCCGCCCCCGCCGCCCGCCGCGGCCGCCGCGTCGCCCTCCGAGGACAGCGACAGGTCCTGGCACGGCCGGCTGAGGTACGCGGCGCCGCCGCTGTTCACAGTGCCGCCGCTGGTGGACTGCAGCAGGGAGAGGCTGTCCAGCGAACGGAAGGACCGCAGCCTCTCCGAGCCCGCGCTAGACCTGCAACAAAGACAAAGTGGTCACATCGTGGGTTCGAAGCCCGCCCACGCTATTCATCTTTTCCGAGCCGCCTAATGCGGGCTCCCGGCGAGGCGGCTCTCAGCCTGCAGCTCGTAATCGGGTAATCCCACCCGCAGTAATGAGGGGGAATTGGGCGCTGGCCGAGCATCGCGCCGAGCATGGCGAGCACGGCGAGCACGGCGACACCATGACCCTCGCAAGTCCCAAGCCCCTCCCCCGCAGCGGCCTCGCCTCGCCTCGCATCCAGAGCCAGAGCTCCGCCTAGGCGGACTAGACGCGCGGGCTGAGGCTATGATCTCACCCGCACGGCGCTCAAGTGCCGCGCGCCAAAACGGACCCGGCGTGTCTAGCCATGTCTAGCCATGTCTAGTGTGCTGCCAGCCGGCCGGGCTGCAGTCCGCTTCCGTTTCTGGTTTTCGGCCTGTCGGGTGCGTCGCGGTGGACGCCGAGCCGCGCCCAACGCTGGGACGAGTCGGCGCGAGGAGAGGCCGCGGCCGCGCCGCGCTGACCTGCCGGTTTGAGAACCGAGGCACCAAGGCCGGCGCGGCGGCGAGGCGGACGCGATGTGTTTCCGAAGCCATCAAGTGGGGCGGTTTATCACTGCACGGGCCGCCGCGCCGGCCGCCCGGCCGCCCAGCCGCGGGATAACAACTTACTCCAAATGCCAGCTACTACTCTTTTTCGGTCGCGTGGCGCCGCGCGGAGCGCGGAGGCCGCCGGGTCGCGAGTCCAGAATGGAAAGAAGCGCACGAAACGGAGACGACGACGAATCGTGAGACCGTCGGCGGGACTGTATTTCCATCCTACATTTCGATCTCGATTCTATATTTCTATTCCTTGTTTCCATGAGGTTTGTCAGCTGAGAGGTAGACCAATTAACCCGCTCGTGAACGACCTCACCGAAGTGCTAATCTACACAACTGTGACGAACAGCGTGGAATGCGTACGCACTCCACAGGCAGTGCTGTGTGTCACAGCCATCTCGGCGCGTGTATCGTGTCTCAATCAAGTCTGAACTATCAGTGCTGTACACTCGAGCACACACACACTGACGCGCTGCTGCGTCGCGACACTAGACCGCCGCGAGGCTCGTGGGCCAAGGCCGCCGAGGCCACCAAGGCCGCGCGAGAAAACAACCGAGCGGATGCCTATATCGACAGTTTCATCAAGTTCAAGTTCGGCCTGCTGATTCTAGAGTCCGCTAGAAGGCAAAGGTCGGCGTCCCCCTCGTGCCCCTCGCGGTGCCGCGGTGCCTCGGCGCCCTGGTGCAACAGGTGGCGGCGCTGGCCCCGCTGCCCGCGGCTCGTCGCTGACGGTCGCTGACCAACTCACCGGAAGCTGCCGCGCGACGAGTTGAAGCTCTGCAGCAGCGAGTCGTCGCTGTCCTGGTCGTCGTCCTCGCTGTCCTCGTCGCTGGCCGAGGGCGACGCCGAGTCGTTCCAGTCGAAGGGCCGCAGCGTGGCCGTGGTGCGGAAGGCCGCGATGCCGGTGGCCAGCCCCGTGCCCGTCAGCGCCTCCTCCTCCTCCGACAGGCGGCGCTCCAGGCTCTCGAAGGCGATGAGCGACGACGACCTGGACAGCGCCACGCCCGTGCCCCAGCCGTCGTCCTGGCGCCGCCGCTTGGGCGGCACGGCCAGGTCGCGCTCCGACCCGGACCACGACGACGGCCCGTTGGTGGCATGGTGGTCCTCGCCTGCAAGCAGAGGGAGGAAGGCGTCAGCAACAAGGCCATTAGCACGGTGGGGCGCGTCTAGAGCACCCCGTCACTGTATCGGCCGGCTAAAAGGCGGCGCGGGGCGAGGGTGGGGCGGGGATCGATGGCCGGCAATCCCTGCAGGGCCGCACTGCGGAACCGAACCGAGCACCTCAGAGACCGGGGCCGGAGCCAAAGGGGCTGCCTGCCTGCCTGCCTGCCTGCCTGCCTGCCTGCATGGCTGCCTGCATGGCTGCCTGCCTGCCTGCCTGCATGGCTGCCTGCCTGCATGGCTGCCTGCCTTCCTTCCCCTGCCTGCCGCGCCGCTGCATGGCTGCCTGCTGCCTGCATGGCTGCCTGCCTGCCTGCATGCTGCCTGCCTGCCTGCTCGCCTGCCTGCCTGCCTGCATGGCGGCCTGCCTGCCGCATGCCTGCCTGCCTGGCGCTGCCTGCCTGCCTGCCTTCCTTTCCTGCCTGCCTGCCTGCCTGCCTGCCTGCCTGCATGGCTGCCTGCCTGCATGGCTGCCTGCTCTGGCCGACGACCGATAACAACCCCCTCCAGCACGGCGGCAAGGCGGGCCGCGGGCCGCACTCAACCCGATGCAGCGTACGCCACTACGCCCTGCCCTAACCGCGTCGCGGCACGGCACAGACAATAGTACGCCGGCAGCGACGCTCAGCCAATCTCTCGCTAATTTGGGGTACAAAGCATGAATGTCGATGAGCATTTCGGAAACCAAGAATGCTACTGAGTACACAAATTTGTCTAATCACTTATGAATGTCAGAAAGCACTAGAGATCCTTTTATTTCATTTATTTATTTTTGGTCTCAGTTCAAAGAGTACTCCGGCCATAGGGGCCGACGCCTTCGGGAGACTCCGAGGGCCGAGGCGTCTGAACGAGGCGAGGCGGCCTGAATGGTCGCATGCCGAATGCCAAGCGGCCGGTCAAGGCGTGCCTCTTCCGTCTGGCGGACGCGGTGGCTGGAACTCGTTCAGGCGGGGCGGGGCGTGCAAGGCGCAGTACGGCACGCGATGCCCTCCCGCGACACGTTACGCAGGTATTACGCACGCATGAGGACACGCTGGTCGCTGGCTGGTCGCTGGGCCATGGGCTGGCTAATGGTGGCGATCAATATTACTGCCGTGCCGGGCGGGCGGCGGGGCGGCGGGGCGGTCTATGCAGGGACATGCTTCATGCTTCATGCCATTGGCAGCCGTTTATACGGTCCTCTGTCTCGCTAGAATCGACACCGCAAAAAAAGAGAGGTCCCATTATATATTTGCATCCATTTTCCCGAGGGGCGGCGGCCCGGAGCGGAGGCGGGTGGCGGGTCGAATGCAGTATTGGCTTCCACGGCGCCATCAGTATGCATGGCGCGGCCGCAGAGGAAGAGAAAGAGGGAGGGGGGAGAGAGACAGAGTGTCGAGCACCGCACAGTGCCACACAACGATCCAACTTTCGAAGCCCCACGGCGTTGCTGCCCGCCAATGAGCGACGCGTCGTTTGGCTGGCTACTGCCCACAGAGCGACGCCACGACGGCCCCGACCTGGCTCGGGGTGCTCGCGGTGCTCGCGGTGCTAAGGGTGCCCGGGGCAAGCGGGGGTCGCCGTGAGGGAGGGTGCCCTCCCACGGACGCACGGCCGACACAAGCAGCTCAAGGCAGGCTGGACTCACTTCGAGGGACTTGGAGTGACTTTGGGGTTCACCTTGGCCGGGCCCAGCCCAGGGGCCCAGGGGCCCAGGGGCTCAGACCTAGGGCACGCGGGGGCGCGCGGCTCTGTCTTTACACTGGGGCTGCCTGCCCGTCGGTCCGTCCGCCGGCAGGGCGGGCGTTGGCGGGGAGGGCAGGCGGGCTGGCATAAGCCGGGCCGACGCGCCCCGTCAACTTGCAACAAATTGGGTCCCTGCCGATGAGGAGCAATCTAGCGACAGGGGGTGGGGGCCGTATTTAATCAAGGAGAGAAAAGGCAGCAAAAGTTGGGCGCCGCCGGCCGGAGTCCCGGACTCTCGGAGTCACGCGCGCCGTCGGGCCAAAACTTTGAAGGAGGGAAAGAAAAGAATGGGGCGCCTTTCAAAATGGTCCCGTCTACCGTGGGCTAATCTCTGGCTCTCCCGTCGCCATCGGGAACCGGACGACGAGCGCGCGGAGCGCTTTCGGCTCCGAGCGTTCGGCTCCGAGCGTTCGGCTCCGAGCCTTCGGCTTTCAGCGGCGACCACGCCCCGGGCCGCGGCCGCACCGCCCAACCGCCAACGCCCTCGCCGTTGTTTGGGCCGAGCGAGCGGCCGAGCGAAGGCTGCACTGAAAATAGTGCGCTTCAAGTCGTAATGAAACCAGGACGGGTTTGACATGTGCGCGCGGGGAGAGAGGCAGAGGCAGGCAGAGAGAGAGGCCGCTCCGCCCCGAGGCCGAGGCGGAGCGAGCCGAGGCAGGGGGAGCAAATTGATTGTGACTACGGAGGCTATTGAGGGCCTCGACAAGCCCGGCTGCCCGGCAGCCCCGACAGGACAGGCTACGTCGTGCTGCTCACCCCCTTCCCCTCCCCCCTCCGGCCGCCCCGGCCTAATCCGTCCCCGCGCCAACGCCGCCAACGCCGCGAGCCCCGCCGCCTCTCCACGCCAAATTTCCCCGATAAGACGACAGGCCGACGGGCGAAAGGAAGGAAGCAGCGCGACGCAACGCCAGTGGCGCGGCGCACCAGCCGAGCCGTGTGCGACGCGGGGAATGCAGACTGCAGGGACAAGGGACGGTTGCAGAGGGCCGCGGGGCTCTTTCCTGTTCGACAAGCGCCACTGCAGGTTTACTGGCGAGGACCAAGGCCGAAGGGAGGGGGTGGGGACCGGCCAGAGGAAACACCTTGTTCATTTCCCTTAGTGTCGTCGCCATACCGCGCCGTGCCGCGCCGTGCCCGACCGCGAGGGCCACCATGCCCCCTTCCCCTTCCCCGCCAAAGTGACCGCGAAACTGAAAGGACACAATAAAGTACGCGGCGCGTGGTGAGGCCTGCGCTCGGCACACGTTGTGGTGCTGCACACACTCACACACACCACAGTCCAGATTCGCGTTCGACGGCGTGGTGCGCCGGGCTGGGTTGGTGGGCGGAGCACGCCGCCACTACCAGGCCAGGCAGGCACACTGGCAGCCAGGCAGGCCAGCCAGGCCCCACGCCCTTCCTGCAAGAGGCTGCTGTAATGGAAACAATGACTAATCCGACCAGAAATACTGGCGAGGCGGATGTAGGATGTAGGCCGGGAGGGCCATGTGGTCAGCCAGCTTCAGGGCCGCCTCTGTTCCCTGCGCCGCCCAGGCCGGCCAGGCCCCAGGCAGGCAGGGGCTCGGGGCTTGATCCCACCCCCGCCCCCTCCTCGTGTGTTAAGTCCATCGTCCGTCCGGGCCTTCGGGACCCGCAGCCTGCAGCTTGGTGGTCATCCTTGCACCCAGTGTTGCCGCAGCAGCCAAATGTCCCCAGAGCGTCGAAAGAGTTGCAAACCTCAGCCTGCCTTCTACGCAACAGATATTGGGCGAGTGGGTAAGCTGGGGTTGGCAATCCTTCCGACTCGGGCACAAGTTTCGCTTTCTCATGTGGCAACACTGCGTGCACCTGCGCGGAGTGACACGGTCGCATCCTTTGGCGTGGGCCTCTTCCCTCCGTCCGGCCGGGAACGCCGAAACTAGCGCGGGCACGCCCTGCGAGCGCCCCGCCCCGCCCCGCCCCGATTCTACGTGCCTTAGCGTCGCCCTGGCCGCCCCCTTCCCCCGACGGCCTCTGCGACGGCCTCGAGCGAGGGCATTTCGGAACGCCGCCGCTACGCCGCCTTTACTGTGTTTACACGTGGCGTCCACGCGCAGGCCGCGCGGGCCGCGCAGCGCAGGGAAAAGCGTAACGGTAAACAGAACGCCGGACCGAACGCCGCAAACCGAACGCCGAGCTCAGAACGCCTGTACAGTCGAGGGTAGGCCACGCCGAGGCGCGCGCGCTGCACGGGTGGCCTGCCTCTCACGGCTGCCTCGCGGCACGCAGGCATCGCGCATCGCCGCTCCACCAGTCACTCAGCATCGGCATTTCCAGCCCCCCCCCCCTCCCCCTGCCTTCTCCGGCGGCGCTACCCCACGCCCGGCGCGCTGCGAGGGCATTACCCGGCTCTACCCCGCGCGCGGGAAGGCCGGGAAGGCTCCCCGCTCCGGGCCTCACCGTTGTAGGTCGCGGCGATGTGGATGACGGAGCCGGCGTCCGAGTCGCTCTCCGGCCAGCCCGCGTGGGAGGAGCGGCTGGACTCGCTGCGGAGGTCGTCCGAAGTCTCCTCCTGGATCGTCTCCAGGAAGAGGAACTGCTGCTGTGCCGGGCCTGCAAAGGACGAAGGGAGAGGGTTAGTTGTGACATGTCTGGGCTCGGTGCTGCAGGTGCCAATACGGCCTGAGTGCCCCATTGCAGTACAGAGTAATAAAGCGGGCATTCCCTTAAGGCGCGCCGCGCCGCCGAGCCGCGTCGCTACCCCGCGGGCGGCGCTACTCCGCGCTGCGCACTAGAGAGGCGCGGGGTATCGCCGCCTGGAATGTTCCCACGCGAGGGCGCGGCGCGCGGCGGCGGCGGTACCGCGGCGGGACTCGGCGCGGGGACACGTACACGGACACGGCGCAGCGCTACGCTCGCGACGCGACGCGGCGACAGATGCACCGGTTCCGTGGGAAACGCGACCACTCGGTTCACACGGCGCATCGCGGCCCAGCGCGGCGCCCCGTGAGAAGACCGGGCAGAAATTGGAAGTCGTTAGGGCTAGTTTGCGGCCGTGACCTTCCAGCTCTTCCAGCCCGCCGTCGCCAACAGAGGCCCTTCGAGGTTCAAGGTTCGACGACGGAGGAAATCCGGCACGGCGGGGTTCCGCCGGGGAATGGAAGAAGGAGTGGGCCGCGGGGCGAGGCGAGGCGGGGCGCTGGAGCGGAGGCTGCGCTGACGCTGACGTCGGTACGAGTGCTTCCAGTGCCGCCGCCGGACCCGCACGAAGCCGCAGACGAATTCCAACTCCAGGGACAACTTTCAGGGGAACTTTTCCCCCAGCTTTGCATTGTGCTTTCATGTCGGGTCGGCACTAGCCGCGGGCCGAACCGCAGCGCCACGCCTCGCCACGCCACGCCACGCCGTGCCACGCCGCCAGCCACCGGCACGGTCAAGGGCCTCCGCCTCCCCCTCCCCCGCCCCCCGCCCGGAGCAGCGCCGAATCATTCCCCCCTCCCCCCTCCCCGGGCCGAGAGGATTTCTGCAGATCATGGATCGAGGAAATGAACGGCTTTCCTTCCTTCCGGTCGCTGCCCTACACTGCTAATCGGACAGCCACGAGGCGGGCGCTGCGTGCCGCGGGGCCGCGCTCCGGGACGCGCTCCGGGACGCGGTCCAGGAGCAACCTTTTCCAGCTCCAGCAGCGCCATCAGATCGCTGGAGCGGCGGAGCGGCGGGCATTTTTACTTTTTACTCGCCTCTTAGCGCGGCGAGGCGCGGCGCCGCGGCGTCACCGCGATGCCCTTTCCTCGCGGCTGACGCCACCACGCCGCCAGACGCCACCGAGCCCAGCCCAGCCCAGCCCAGCCACGGCACTATCGGCAGCCCATCGAGTGCTGAGCCATGCCGAGCGCCGCGTCGGCCAGCACGGCCACCTCGTGGGGTTGCCAGGCCCAGGCCCGGGGCCCGGGGTGTTGGAGGTTAGCAGGGTGGTGTTAAATCACACCGTCGTGACTCCGCCCCGCCCCGCCCCGCCACGCCGCACCGGGAGGCGAAAGTAATGCCCAATCGCCGATGAACAACAGGAATGGCAACCTCGGCCGATGAGCCCACATAGGTCACGTTGACTAACCTAACCGCGAGTGCACCGCGCTGCAAGACCCACAGTGCCGTGGTCCCTTTAGCAGTGTGGCGCCGCGGCGGCCGCGCGGTTTGGCAAGGCGGCAAAGCGAGATGCGTTGCCCGCCAGGCCCCGCCGCCAGGCAACCCGCCGACATCATCTTGATGGTGATTACCCTCCAAATTCACTCTCTATCCGTCCCAGTCTCTCTCCAGGGACGCGCGCCGGGCGGGGCGCGTGACGCGTGCGCGCACCGAGGCGCGCCACGCCTCGCCTGCACACGGAGACACGCGTGGAAAGCAATCAGTGCCGCCGATTGCCGATTGCTGCGCGGATGCAATCACGCTTGTTCCGGCCGTGAATCACTCCGCGAGGACGTGGACGCCGTGGACGGTTTCGCCGCCTTGTTGCTGGCAGAGTAAGAAGACAATCAATCGCGCGCCGCGCCGCGCCAAGCCCAATGCCGGGCCAAGACGCCGTGACCGACCACCCTGCTGCCCGGCGCTGCCCGGCCTGCCCGCCGTGCTCGCGGGGCTCTTGTCGTTGGCGTCGTTGGCTCACGTGCGCCCATTAATTAGGCCGCCAGACCGTCTCCGACTGTATCCGACGGCCTCGGCTGCCTCGGCCGACGCGGGCCTCGGCCTCGTGCTTGCCTCGGGCCGCCTCGGGCCTCGTCCGGGAAACGGGAGCGAAGTCGATCATTCTTTGAAGCAAGCGGCAGGATCCGGTCGGCGTCGTTCGACCCTCTTAAACGGCGTGCTTTCCCACGCATCTTTGTCTCCGAGGCGGTGGCGCCGTGGCCGTGGCAGGGGCTCTGGAGGGGCCGCGGCGGGCAGGGGCAGCGAGGCAGAAAGCAGCTCCTCAAAGTCCTCGCCGCGGGGCGCGGAGCGCGGGGCCACCTCTCCGACGGACAAGACACGGGGTGGCCGGGCCGGGCCACCCGCTGCGTTGCCACGCCCGGCTGCTGCCCCTGGCGTTGCCTACCCGGCACGGCGCTCGCCTCGGCGGAGAGGGTGGGACGGCGCGGCCCCGGGCGGGGCGGGGCGTTGTTCGTCTCCGTCGGGCACGGCACGGCACGGCACGGCACGGCGTGGCTCGGCGCACGCGGCGAGACGGTACGGGTCGTGGGAACAATGTGCATCGCGGCGTGCTGCGCGTTGAGCAACAACAACAACACCAACACGACCACGGGCTACCAGCCGCGCTACCAGCGCCGCGCTACCGGCGCCACCATCAGCATCATAACAGCACTGACCCCATCAGGACAACGACGACGCAACGAGCGGCAGCCGGGGCTGCGCGGCGCCGCGGAGCTCAGGAAGCAGCGCGCCAGTGCAGTGTGGCCAGTGTGCTGCATTCACTGCATTGTGCCAGTCGAGTCGAGTCGGCGTGGCGGCGTTTCTCGGGCGGCGCGCGGCGGCTTCGCAGGGCTTCGTAGGCGGAAGGAGCGAGCAGCGACACGACCAAAATATACATCCCTCTCCCTCTCTGCCTGCGCTCCGCACCCCGTCCAGCTTTTGTTGGCCTTCCGTCATTCTCTCCAAGGCGGAGGCGAAGGGGCGCTGCACCGCCAGCGCCGCTCTGCGCTCCAAAAGTAGAAAATGACATTCGTCATCGGGGAGAGCGGAGCGCGGAGCGTGCGCGACCTGATGGAAGTGGAAGCACGGCAGGGTTCACTTTTGTACTGCTGTGCGTCGCGTCCCGCACCAGGCCTCCTCTCTCCCTCTCTCTCTTCGGTTCGGACTGTCTCGGAAGGGCTTCTGCTTCCTCGCAAACTCTTGCCGCCATGCGCCGCGCCGCGCGGTTCGCGGCCAACTTTGCACGCCTTGCCGACACAACGTTGGCGGCCGCTCCGGGCGAGAAGGGCCGGGCCGAGGGCGGAAGACCATTGCCAGCGAAGGGACCCCGGCGTGACCCTGCACGACGGCAGCAAGGGTGCGCCCAGCACGCGCACGACAGGGCCGACCGGGCCGCCGGGGCCGCATGCAGCACTGCAGCAGCAAAGCCACAGCAGAAGCCACTTTGAAATAAGACGGATCTGCGGATCCGAGGAGCCCACGTGGTGCAGGCTTGCAGCCTTGCAGCCGCCAACACGCCGGTGCAACACTGTAAGCCGCACTCACACGGACGCGCAGCAACACGCACAGCAGGCCGCAGGAACTGGCGCTTAGGGCACCCTCCCCTCCCCTCCCCTCCCCTCCCCTCCCCTCCCCTCCCCTCCCCTCCCGCTCCGGGGCGCTGCTCGGCACCGCTCTTCCCCGCTTCCGGCGAGGGCATGCTCCACGGGCCATGGGCCTCGGCATGGGCCTCGGCATGGGCCTCGCCGTGGGCCGGGCCCACCCGGGTGTGACAAGGCCTGCGGCGAGGCCCACTACGGCCCGGCAGCACATGCAGTGCGTGCGCCTGGCCACGGCCCGGCCGGGATGGCCTGCACGCTGCAGCGCCACCGATCCGATATTTCATTAAAGTTTGTCGAGCGCCTTAATGCAGGGAATGGGCGTGGTGGCGAGGGGCACCCCCGCCTCACCCCCCGGCCCCTCTTGGCCGAGGTCTAGTTATACGCGCCCGAGGAGAGAGGTACCCCACCCCCTCCCCTGCATAAACTCATCGCGAAAATCAATGCAAGCGACGTACACGCCGTACACGCCGTACACGGGCAGAGCGCCTGGCGAGCGACGTCCCGAGGGGGACGCCTCAACAAGTCCCTCCCTTGTGCACGCCCGCGTGCGCCTGTGTGTGTGCGTGTGTGCGTGGCCGCGCTTGTACGCATGTGTCACTGGCACACTTGAGCGCACACACATGCTGTTGCGCTACGCCGCCTTGCCTCAGAAAACCGGAAAAGCTCGGAAAAGCTCGGGAGGAACTTGAAAGTTGGTGGCAAGAAACGCGCCTCGGGGTAGCTGCTAGTCTAGCTTCAAGGAAATTCCCTCGCTGCGCCGCCTGCAGGGCGACTCAGAGGCTCCATGAGAGAGGTACTACGAGCATGCCTGGCATGACACACACACTCACGCACACGTAAGCCAGGAATGTCTCCCAAACGCGCCCTGGCCGCTCGCTCCACTTTCCTCCTACACTTGACACAGTGCCGGCCGCCGTGCCGCCGTGCCGCCTCGCCGGACGGTGGAGCCTTTGGAACCGTGCCGCTACGCGCTGCGCGCCGCGCCGCCCCGCGTCCACACGTGCGCGCGTACGGCGTACACAGGACTCGTCCACGATGCATCGCCGTCTCGGGGCTGCGCGGGCTGCGTGCTTTCATGATGCAGGGAGGGCCAGGCCGGCTGGGGACGCGAAATGCGGCGCGCGGCCCGGGGCCCGGCCCGGGCAGCAGACTCAAAAATGAAGAAACGGCACTGCACTGCAAACGGGCCGAGATAGCCGCGTTTTAACGACAGCGCCAAAACGGCAAAACGGCGGGGGAAGGAAAGAAAAAGAGCTCCGGATTGCGTGCTGTCGGCACTTTAATAAAGACCGCGACCTCGCGAGCCAAGCCGAGAGCCGAGTCGAGTCGCCA